ACCTAGACAGTGATTAAGCGTCCGTCAGGGCAGGGCCAGGACCCAGGGCGCAGAGAGGGGCGGCCAAGCCAGGCCGCAGGACGCAGTGCCAGGGGAGCTGGGAAGGTTTGAGGAAGGACGTGGGGCGGCAGTGACAGGATGCACAAAAGCTGACAGACAAGGGGGCACAGTAGGTTCTAGGAGCTGCAGGGACATCCGGGTGCAGGGACGAGCAAGAGGGAAGGGAATGGAAGATGGAAGAGAGCCGAGGCTAGCGCGGCAAGCAGAGGCCCCTCAGAGAAGGCTCCGTGCGGTCGTCCAGGTTGTGCACTGTGCAAAGAGGAAAGGCTCACCCAGGCGCCACCCGCCAAGCCCGGGCCAGAGCTAACTCTGCCTAGATGCGGTGGTGGCTTTTTCTCATTTGTACGAAGCCACTATATGAGCTAAGCTGGCTAAAGACCCGTGCGGGCTGGCTAAGGATTTAAGATTTTTATCCTGAAATTGAAGAGAAGATACTTGCGTCACTCAGGATTCTCCAAAGAAACAGAAAAAAGAAAAGAAAAGAATATATGCTGGGGGTGCCAAAAACGTGTATACACATGACTTGTAGTCATCTTTTGTTATCTGTATATATTGAGTATTACAATTTTAATACAGTTGTTTCCTTTCTTAAAATGTGTATACATTTTTGGGGGCACCCTCTGTATATTTGAGGAAGCTAACAAGTCCAATATGTGCAGGATGGGCTGGCCAGCTGGAGACCTAGGGCAGAGCTGCAGTCAAGTCCAAAGGCAGTCAGCTCGCAGAATCTCCTGATCATCAGAGGAGGCCGATCTTTTGTCTATCAAGGCCTTCAACTGATTGGATGAGGCCCACCCACATTATGGAATGTACTCTGCTTCACTCAGAGTCTACCGTTCATTTAAATGTTTAGCTCATCTAAAATATGCCTTCACAGAAACATCTAGAAGCATGTTTGACCAACTCTCTGGGCACCATGGGCTCAGCCAAGTTGACACATAAAATTCGCCATGACACTGCCGAAGACTGGATCCAGGAGACGACCTGGGTGGGCTTACAGATCGCTTCTGTGTATGAGCTTTTGGGGGAGGGGTGGAAACAAGGAAACCAGGCAGGGGTGATGGGGCCTGACTCATGTGGTAGCACTAAGCATGGGAGGGGTGAGTCAAGAGCTATCTAGGAGGCAGCCCTGGCCTCAGTC